TGGATGACGAACTTCTACGAAAGCATTTGCCAAGGACGTTCTCATTAATCAAGAACGAAAGTTGGGGGATCGAAGACGATCAGATACCGTCCTAGTCTCAACCATAAACGATGCCGACTAGGGATTGGCGGATGTTTATTGGATGACTCTACCAGCAACTTGTGAGAAATCAAAGTTTACGGGTTCCGGGGGGAAGATGGTCGCAAGGCTGAAACTTAAAGGAATTGACGGAAGGGCACCACCAGGCGTGGAGCCTGCGGCTTAATTTGTCTCAACACAGGGAAACTCACCAGGTCCGGACATAGCAAGGATTGACAGATTGAGAGCTCTTTCTTGATTCTATGGGTGGTAGTGCATGGCCGTTCTTAGTTGGTGGAGTGATTTGTCTGGTTAATTCCGTTAACGAACGAGACCTCAGCCTGCTAAATAGCTACGCGGGGACCTTTCCTCGTGGCCAGCTTGTTAGAGGGACTGTTGGACGAATAGCCAACGAAAGTTTGAGGCAATAACATGTTTGTGATGCCCTTAGATGTTATGGGCCTCACGCGCGCTACACTGATGAATCCAACGAGTCGCTTGCCTGGGTCGAAAGGCCCGGGTAACCTTCTTAAGGTTCATTGTGACGATCATAGATTGTTGTAATTATTGATCTTGAACAAGGAATGCCTAGTAAGCGCGAGTCATCAGCTCGGGCTGATTACGTCCCTGCCCTTTGTACACACCGCCCGTCGCTCCTACCGATTGAATGGTCCGGTGAAGTGTCTAGATTGCGGTGATCTCGGTGGTTTGCCGCTGGGGGTGCTGTGAGAAGTTCATTGAACCTTATCATTTAGAGGAAGGAGAAGTTGTAACAAGGTTTCCGCAGGTTAACCTGCAGAAGGATCATTGACATGTGAATGGCCGATCTTCGGGGTGTGGGACGCTGGCTTGCTCGCCCTTCCGCCGCCCTTTGCGCCCATCCTCCCTGCATCCGCTTTTCTCTTCCGTTTCAGCACCATCTTGGGCTTAGTGCCCAGCTGGCGAATGGCCCGGCGCAGAGGGGCGCACAGTGTAAGTCGAGGGTGGGGGGAGTGGGCAGGGTCGGGGCCTTGTGGCGGTGCTCCCCCTTCATCCCGTGTTGCCTCCGCAGGTTGTTACCTCGGCCCAGCCACACTCTCGACTTTTGGTCGGGATGGCGGTTGGTCCGGGCATGAACAGCCCAACGGGAGGGTCAGGGGCTAGATGTCGGGTGGTGGGGGCTGTCCTCGGCCTGCGTAGCCCCCTCCTTCCCGTCTCAGCATTGTCCAGACCTCCTTTCCATCCTGGCCTCGTCCTCGGCTTCATGCGGAGCTCGTGGCTTGTTTGGGGATCGAGGGTCGTAGTACAGGCTAGGGGCGGGGTGTGTTGCGGGGTCCTCAGCCCCTCCCCGTTTCGTCCTGCCTTCCTTCCCGATGAGGTTCTCCTTTCCAGACAGATCGTCGTCCTCGACGCAGTCGAGGTGGTCTGAATCTCGGGGTGGAGGGGCTGTTGGGGGAGGGTTTTGGTCTTGAACGGGGTGGTGTTGGGTTGGGGGGGGGGGAGTGGACAGCGCTTGCACCCTCGTTGCACCGCTGCTCCCCGGTGCCCTGCCTGGCCCCCCAAATGGGGGGTCGGGCGGGCCCGTGGCAGCGGCTGGTGGCGACGACTTTTCAACTTCTTATTGATGTACGTGCTCTGATTTGCCGCTGTCCGGGTTGACGGCCCCCTTGTGTTCTGGTCGAGGGGTCGGTCCTGTCGGAACGGCACCATATTGTAGAACTCTCGGCAAACGAATATCTTGGCCCTCCTACGATGAAGAGCGCAGCGAAATGCGATACTGAATGTGAATTCCAGAAATCCGTGAGGCATCGATACCTTGAACGCACGTGGCGCCCGAGGCTTCTGCCGAGGGCAC